TTCCCGTTGAGGCACCAGCGCACTTCCCAGCGCCCAGGCCTTGGCGGGATGTCCCTGTTCTCAGAAGAGGCCGCTGCCAGCTCTCTGCGTGCCCTGTTTGTGTGGGCCCCAAACCTTTCTCAGGATGAGGTCACAGAGAGGCGGCCTACCCTGAAGGCGCTGTCGCGGCACCCCCTTTCCTGAGTCCCCAGGTGGGGCAGTGCCCAGTGGCTCGAGTCTGGAGGCCACTGCGCACTCACGGTGCCGGGGAGGGCCTGTATTGGGGACACGCGACTCCACCTTGCCTAGCGCTGGGTGGCGCCTCACTGCCGGCCTGGCAGGGAGCTGCAATACCCCGTCGGTAGGGGCCCACTGCCATGCGCCTCTGCCCGAGGGGCCCGCCTTCCATTCGGCGCGTGGGGGCCACAGGGCACTGTGAGGATGGGGTGTCCGCGTGCTCGGCGCGCCCAGGTCGCGCCGCCGGCTGGCACGGAGCAGGTGCTCAGCGTTGGCGGAAGGCGCGGGCCCGGGAAGGCCCTTCCTCGCCGCTAGGCCGTGCTGCATACAGCATTTTAGAGTCGGAAGATCTGGGATTCCTCTTCTCCCGCCCAACCCCGAGGCACAGAAATCAATGTCGCTCTGTCTCGTTTTGTGCAAGGCCCACGATACGCCGTGGTCCTACGAGGGGCCTGGCTCCCGGAGCGCCTGCCTGTCCTGGCCCAGAGGTGGGCCGCCCCGACCGCACGTTCTCTCATTCAGCCGCTTACACCGAGGTGGGGACCTGACTCGGCCAGGAAGCGGCCAGCAGGGAGCAGCAGAGGCCCTCGGAGCTGCCAGGCCTGGCGGGGCGCCCCGGAGAGGGAAGTGGGTCCTAACCTTTAGCAAGGAGCACGGCCACCTAGAGCCTCGTCTGGGCTGTGCTGCCTATCGCCACCCTGATCAACGAGTGTGCGCAACGCCCGTGTGGTTCTGACCTGCTGGTCCTCGCTCCTGCACCTGGCGCGTGGAACGACCTCCCTTGGCCTGGGACCCTGGCGGCTGGGCTCTCCGCAGGCTTGAAGGAGCTGGGGGAGTTAGGAGACTCTCGGGGGGCTGTGTGTCGGAACCCAGCCTCGGCACCGAGGTCAGGGGCTGGTCTTCTCCCAGGAATGGCGGGAGGGGCGGACGCGTTTGACCCTACGCAGATGGAGCTCATTTGAAGCTGGGCGAGGGGAACTTTAAAACGACGGATTCTTGCCCCTCTTACGGTGCCAACTCACACACATGTACCTCCGCACAGGACGCGAGAGGCGGAGGACGAGGGATTGTGCGCTCTGGTGCCAGGCCTATTGGGTCGGGTGGAGCCAGGCCGGCCTTGTGCTCCCTGTAAGAATGCCCTGTGCCTTCCAATGTCACCTCCTTAACCACCTACCTCTCCCTTCCCCGTCCAAGTCCGCGAGGGCAGTATTATCAAAGAAAAAGAAACCAAGGGGTGAGGTGACTTGAACTGCTCAGGTCAGTGGGCGGCGATGGGGACCCCCGGGTCCGTCCTTCCAGTCCCTGGCTCCCCCAGGGCTAAGCTGCCTGCCCAGGGGCCTCGTGCACCCCGCCCCTGCCCTTCGGCCCCAACGAAAAAGAAAACAGTGGGGTGGAAGGCGCCTTGGTGGGGCAGGCGCCTTGGCATCAGAAACTCACACCCCGGGCGCCTTCCTGCCGCCGGCGCTCCGAGCCAGACCGCCCCTCTGGAGTCTTCGCGCACCTCTGCCCGGGTCGCCGTGTTCGTGGCCTAGGCTGGGGCTCCGAGGACGTCGGCGTCGGCCCACGGGGCCTGTGGTCCGCAGACAGAACGGCTGTACATACAACTGTGCACAACTCATTCCCGGGCGGTTAGGAGTCGGGGGGTTCCCTAGATTCAGCGCATCGCGGCAGCATGCTCAGATGTGCGAGAGCTCGATCACACATTGGCGCACACAGGGTCCGACACTTCGCAACAGACTGGGGAACGCTTTAACATTGAAAGGTCGAGTTTGCGAGTCGCACAGGCCAGGCACGCTTTTGCGGCGGTGCGCTGCGGCAGGCGCTTCACCGGCGGCCTGGGTGCAAGTCCAGGCCGAAGGCGCCCCGGGGAACCCAGTACCCAAGTGCGCGCAAGCTCCGCAGTAGCCGCGGGCGATCTCGGGCGCGGTCGCCAAGGCCATTTCGCCTGCGGGTTCTGGCCCTTCAGGACTTGCCTGGCGCCGGGCTCTCCCGCGCCGTTATGCGCCAGGTTAGGCCCTGAGACAGAGGCCAGGCCCTGTGGGACCCCAGGCCGGTTTTCCTGCACAGGCCCCTCCAGCTGCCTCGCACCCAGCCAGGCGGGGAGGGAGATGCCGCTTGAAGGCGCAGCCCGGGAAAAGAACAGGACACAGGACTCAGGCCCAGCGGCGCCAAACTCCACGCACAATCAGGGTGCACGGAGGCCTCTGGCGGGCCGAGGGCCCAAGCGAGTGGGCGCGGGGGCTGAGGACTCACTGCCGGGAGAGCCGGGGAGCGCGGCCTGGCCGGAGTTGGGTTTTTCCTAATCAGCCATCAGCCCGCTTCCTGGCGGCTCCGTCCTAATTGGGGAGCCTCCAACGGAGGGAAGGAGGGGCCCGCTCTCGGCTAGCTCTCTCGGTGCGAGCTCAGGGTTCCGCGCTGGCAGCGCCTTGGGGCTTTTCTTCTGACTGGTCCTCCTTGGCTGAAAGGTGGGGTACGAAGGCGGCCTCCGGTCGGGGAAGGTGGCTTCGCGGCCGCCTGCGATGCCCCTCCCGGAGCGCAGATGTGGCGCGGGCGGGAGGCAGCGCGCTGGGCCCGGGAGACCAGCCCGAGACCCCAGGGACTCAGTCGCGACCATTTCCCGTCCCCATTATGTCGACTTTATCGACAGCTGCTCGTTGGGGGCATTAACTGCCCAGACGAGTTTATTGATAATTTTGATGTAACAGAGCTCCGGAGAAATTACCCAAAACGTCCAGTTTGAGAAGAGCCAGGTTCGGGGGGCGCGCGACCCCGCGTCGCAGAGAGACTGCGGTGGGTCTCCAGCGGCTGCGCTTACAATGCGACTTTGTTTGTTTTTCTCTGAGAGCTGGGAGTTGAAATAGAAAAAAGGTGTTCAGGAGAAGACACAAACTTTAAAATAATTTCTATTCAGAGGGGGAAAGATACGACTGATGGGGGTGAAACTGGATGGGAAACGGGCCTATCACCTTGCCCCTCACCAAAGGCCCTTTTTTGGGTCAAATTTTATTAGCTTCTCAGTTGGGGAAAATCAGTAAGGGGCACCAAACCAACTGAAAGCCGTTTCGTGATTTGTAAGAGGCAGAGGGACGGCAGGGCTGGAAAGTCAGAAGAGAACCTGCATTGGTCTGTTGGTCTTGGGGTGGCAAACGAAAAACAGCGAGGTCACGCTGTCTTCCCTGGGGGAAGGACGGTATAGGTTTTCTTTAAAAGGCTGGCTATTTCTTTAAAAGGAGAAATGACATCTTGAGGGGACAGAGGGCTCTTCTTGAAAAAAACAGAAGCCAAGAAAAATAGTTACTCTGGTCCAGATAGTGCTTCAGTGTGAAATGAAGGCTGAAAAGAGGAAGAGTAGCCAAATAAATAAATAAATAAATAAATAAAAATAAAAGGAAAAGTATTCAGAATCACCCAGATCTTAAAAAAAAAAAAAAAGTCATGCTTTCCACAGCCTGTTTCTGCCCTCACTTGGGGTTTGGGTCTGGACAACGGACGTTGTGTGGCCCGTCCCCATTAAATACGCGCATGGTTTTATTTCCAGTTGATACCATTTGAAAGAGCATGTACAAATGTTATACATTTTTATTTTTGTTCTTTTTTTTTTTAAGGAAAAAATACACAAAAGGCGAATCCTCGTGGAATGACGGTTTTGTACAGTGCAGCAGGGACTGAGGACATGTCACAAACGCTGCCCCCCAGCAGCCGGAGGAGTCAAAACGGAGGCGGGTCCTTCATCCGAGAGATTTATATAAAACATACGGAAATTTGTTTTTACAGAGATCAGACTTTTTCAAAATTACAATGGATATCTAAAAAAAAATAATCCTACACGGCAAATATTGCCAACAAAGTTACACCATTAATACTGATAAACGGAGGGGCCTATGCGGTGTTTCGATTATTAGGGAGAGAAAGAATAAATAACGGGGTGAACCTTGCTATGTTTACAAAGTGCCTTAACCTGTCTGCGGCCCGCAATCCCAAACCCGCCCGGCCATGGCCTCCCAGCCCCTTCACCCCACAGCGCTCGTCTCCTTCTCGGACCAGAAAGTTTACAGTAGAGACAGAGAGCAAAAAGTCAGAACAAAATTCAAAGCGAAGCAAGACTGGCCAGAGAGCGGGAAGGAGGGAGGGCGGAGAGGGATGGCGAAGCCAGGGCGCTCCGTGGATCCTTCTACGGCCTTGTGTTCAGACGAAGGGACAGTGGCTTCAGAAATTCGAGTTGTCCATAAAACGATCCACCTGGGGCTGGACGGAGACTTCAGAGTAGGGGGGGACACAACCATCACCCCTCTGCGCCCAAGGTGGCGCTAAGGAGAGGCAGGCTTGCGTGCCCGAAACATTCTTTCCACAAAAATTAAAAATAAAAAGATAAATACTCAACCAAAAATAAAGGTATTTGGTCACGACAGGTCTTGTGAAGGGACCATTCTCTTCTAAAGCCCCTCCTGCAGTGTGGCTGCCGGCGGGGAGGGGGGCCGCAGCAGAATTCTTCTTGGATGGTGAGGGGTCTTCCCCAACGCAGCACCTTCTCAGCTGGTCTCCAGAGAATCGAAAATAGGTGTTTACTGACCCACAGCTGCCGTCAGACCAGCTCCCCCCTCCTGCCAGTTTCTTCCCTAATTCTTGAGCGGGTGGGAAGGAGGTGGTCGAGCCGCGTGGGCTCTGGGCGAGGTTGCCTTTCCCAATAGTCCGGTTGGGGCAGGGAGCAGACCCTTTTCTTCTGCCGACGGTTATCCCTCCAGAGCAAAGCTGTCAACGGGCGGCTCCACGTCCTTGCCCGGCAGGCCTCACATCACGCAGGGCTTGATGTCTTGGTAGGTGACCTGCTGGTGGTAGTAGGAGCCGCCACCGGCTGAGTGCATGGACGAGGACGCCATGGCATTGAAAGAGAAGACGAACTCCTTTCTGTCACACATGCTGGGTGACTGTGAGTGATATCGCGGGATGCCTGTGGGGCAAGGCGACAGGGGTGGGACACGGGAGTTAGCATGGGGGCCAGCGATCACCAGTGGCCTCCGTGGCCTGCCCAGTGGCGCCTAGGTTCACGGAGGTACTCTGTGTCCCTGCTGTGCGCTTGGGAGGAAGACCCCAACTGGACCTCGTCACCAGTTACGAAACTGAGGAAGGGATGAAGGTGGCTGGGCTGGATGAACAGATGCCAGGGAGGGCCCTGGTGGCGTCACTCTGCACCTTCTGCCTCCAGGCCACCTTTGGCCAGAGCCAGCTTGGGGAAGCCACTTCAGTGCCCTAGGGGCTGGGGAGGCCAGTTCAGGAGCCGGGAACGGTCAGCCAACGGCAGGGGCGAAGGAAGGGAAACTCCTCCAGGGAAGGCTCCGGGGAGAGTGGGGCCTCACAGAGATGTAGGCCCCACAGAGAGCAGGCCAGGCCAGCCAGGAGCCTGAGACCCGGAGGAGAGGCCGCCTCCCTGCGGCTGCTGACAGCTGACCCTACAGGCCTCTGCTTAGCCCCTCCAAGCTGTCCCAACACTGAGCCCAGAAAGTTGCTAGTGGGAATTCCAGTGGGTTCCGGGAGGGAGGCTTTTCTGTATCCTACTTCTTAGAGGATTGAGAGTGAGGGGCTGATGCGGCCTACGGACCTGAGAAACAAAGGCTTGGGGCCTGCATCTCTGGTCGTGCCGCTGCTTCTGCCATCACAAGATCCCCCCACACTCGCCACCCCACTCTACTGTCCCAAGCCAGACCCGGCTCCCTGAAGGGCCAGCCAGGTGGCCTTAGGCCTAACTTTCTGGCTTAGCCTGGGCCTTGGCACAGCCCAGGAACAGAGGCGTCCGTCCTAGCAGCCTGGCAGCTGCCAGGGGAGGGGCGACCATCGGGGGACAGTGAACCAGCCAGCCATGGCTGAGACCCCTGTCCATGCCAGGCCCTTCCCAAGGTGCGAGGGCACCTAGGGGGCCCAAACATGCTTAGCAGTGCGGTTTGGGCCTTCTCGGTGAGCACAGGCCTGCCTGATCAGGCTTGGGACAGCCGGGAGCTCGGCCGAAAAAGGCAAACTGGGAAGTCCTTGTCCCAGTCAGGCTGCAGGCTGCACACAGCCCCAAAGGAAGAGAGTGACCTGGCCTGTCCCCGCAGGACGATGTTGGGTCCTAGAAGGGCGGGACGTGCATCCCGCAAGAGGCCCGCCTCAGGCCCCGGCAGCAAAGCTTTGCCGGTGTGCCGTCACCCACTCACAGAAGTCTGGGGTCGCGCAACTGCCCTGCACTCACCTTGCAGCTCAGCCGGGCCACTGTGGCTATTCTGATGCAGGTATGGTGGCTCCAGGGAGTGCGTGGAGACGCTGCCGGACAGGGGGTTGGCCGCGGGGTTGCAGGGGGACAGGGGCTGCTGCTTGATGTAGGAGGCGCCGCTGTTGAGGGTGGCCGAGGCTGAGGGCGGCCAGGCGGCCGCGGAGCCCGAGTAGACGGCGTGGGGCTCCATGACCCCACCGGCAGCCGAGGGCAGCAGCGGGGAGGCAGGCACCGAGCTGTCGTGGTGTGGGTACTCCCCGGCCCCCGCGCCGCTGCAGCTGCCCATGTACGAGTGGCCGCTGTTGGTGGGCAGGTGGGGCACCGAGTGGCTGGGCAAGGCCATGCCGTCCACGTTGGCTGGGAGGTGGCCGTTCATCATGCCCAGGCCGCCCTCCAGCGCCAGGCTGTTGGGTGGGCACGCGAGGCCACCGGCCGAGCCTTGGAAGCCGTAGGTGTCCGGGAGGTGGTTGAAACCCAGCCCGTTCATCATGCTGTACATGGGCTTGAGCGCCTGGCATTTCCTTCGGAAGCCGCGCGGCCGCCGGCGGAACGATCCTTCCTCGAACATGAATTCACTGGCCGGGTCGATGGTCCAGTAGTGGCCCTTGCCGGGCCGCCCGAGGCCCTTGGGCAACTTGATGAAGCACTCGTTGAGCGAGAGGTTGTGGCGCACCGAGTTCTTCCAGCCCTGGTAGGAGCCGCGGAAGAAGGGGAAGCGACTCTGCAGGAACTGGTAGATCTCACTGAGCGTCAGGCGCTTGGTGGGCGAGCTCTGGATGGCCATGACTATGAGCGCGATGTACGAGTAGGGCGGCTTCTCCGGGCGCCGGATGCCCGCGTTCGTCTTCTTGCCCTTGGAGGGGCCGGACGACGCGGGGTCCATGGCCGCGCCGCCTCCCCCGCCGCCGCCGCCCGGTGGCTGCTGCTTCTCGGGCGCCGAAGACATCGGGTGCCTGCTGCCGCCGCCGCCGCTGCCGCCGCTGCTCTGCGCCGCGGGCGAGCCGGGAGGAGGAGGAGGAGGAGGAAGAGGAGGAGGGGGAGGGGGCTGCGCGCGAGGGGCCGGCTGCGCCTCTGCCGTCATCGGCGGCCACTTCTCCCGAGCGGGCCTCGGGGCGCCCTCCCCCGCCCGCCCTCCCCGAGCCGCGGCCGGGCGGCCGGCGGTTGGCGCAGAGCCCCCTTCTCCAACTCCGCCTCCCACCCTGTCCCCTCCCTCTTTTTCTCGCGCCCTCCCACCGGGGGGGAGCCGGGCGCAGCCAGAGCCGAGCTGCGCTGCGGCCGGGGCCGGGCCCCCGAGGCCGCCCCCCGCCCTGGCCTTTGGGGAGGCCGTGCCTCCAGGCCCCCGGGCCGTGCGCCCCGCCCGCTGCAGCGCTGGGTCCCGGCTGCACGCCTCGGCCGGGGCCGCCAGGACTGCAGCTCCGCTCGGCGGCGTCTCGCGGGCGGCGTCAGACCCTCCGGGAGGTCCCTCCCTCGCTCCCCGCCCCCCCGCTCCGCCCCCACCAACCTGGCGAGCAAGTGCTGGGCGGCCGCGGCCCGCGGTTCAACCCCGGTGAACGCAGCTCCCTGCCTTCCCGGCCCGGGCGGCCGGGCGGGAGACGCGCCACGGGCCGAGGGCCTTCCCGGCTGCGCTCAGCCCGTCGGCCGCTCGCTGCGGCGGAAGCCTACGGGTCGTGCCCGTCGCGGGCAGAGCAGGCTCGGCTCCCGGTTCCCGCGTCCAGCGGGCCGGCGTCAGTTCCCTCGAGGGCCCGCCTCCCATTCTCCCCGCCCCGGGAGCAACTGCGCCCTGCCCGGGACTTTGCCGACTCGCCCAGCAGCGCTGGAGCGAGCAAGCGGGCGGGCGGGCGGGCAGCCTCCAGGCCGAGCGCGGGCGGAAAACGAAAGCGCAGGGCGGCTCGCTGCTTTGTCCCTGGCGCCACGGGCCCGGACGAGCCCAAATGAGAACTGCTGACCCGGCGGGGGCCCAGCCGCACGGGCTTGGGAACCAACGGCCCCGCTCGCGCGCGCATACACTGCTTTCACACAGCACACGTGTACGCACCGACATGCGAACCTAGTGAACTCTGCACACTCAGGGGTGCCCACTCACACCCGCGCGTGCATGCTCACCCACCCCCAGAGCGCACCCAGCTGGTGCGCGCCCACGAACGCGCGCACTCACGCACAATCGGCTCACAGGAGCTTAAGTTCACACTCACTCCTCACGCGTGCACATGCCACGCTCTGATCTCAGCCCACTCGTGGCCCAGACGCTTTCGCATCATACACAGTGAAAAGTCGCATTTTGGGCCAGGCGGACCAGGCATCCCCACTTACCAAAAGCAGGTTCCCATTTCCCCCTGAGATGCAAAGGCCCCGGCCGGATGTTTACACGGCTCAACGTAAACACGTTCTGGGGGATTCTTTAATACTAATAGAGTTCCGCGTGGGCGGGGGAAGTTGGCCTAACGCCCCTGTGGGCTCGGCCTGCCGCCGCTGCGGGGCCTCTGACACCGCGCGCAGGCCAGGTTCCGGAAAGCAGGCTGGCGAGGCGCGCAGGCCCGAGCAGCTCTGGAGCGCGTGGCGGCTCGCCCGCAGGGGGCCTGTACGCACGACTTTCCCCGCCAACTTCGCAGCGCGGGGCTTCAGGCTGGGCTGGGGAGGGGTTGGCGCCCAGCGCAGAGCGCAGGACGGCGCGGGAGCCCGGGCGCAACGCGACCCCGCACCGACCCGGGTGAGTGTAGTACGTGCGGGCTGCAGGGCGCGTGCCCGGCCTCGCCCGCCGGCATCAGGGGTCTGGGGGAAGGGGGCTTGTTTTCGCGGGTCAACGCGAGGAGTCAGGCGGACGTGCAGCCGCGCAAGCTGGGCGGAGAGGCGAGTGTCCGGCTCCTCGCACGGCTCGCGGCGCTGTTCAAAGCCCGCCGGTCTTTCGGGTTTGTCCGGCCTCCTTGTCCCCCGCCAGCCCCCCTCCTCGCCCAGACGCCTTGAGCCTCGGCGGGAGACGCCTCGTCCGTCGCCTTCAGGGCGCCTGGCACGTCCGTGCGAGGAGCTGGGAGCTCGCTGGCGGCATAGCCTGCCCGCCATCGCTGCCGCCTCCCACAGAGCTGCGCTCGCTGGAGACAGGATACCTTCCTCGCGCTGTCTCCGCCCGGCTCTCCCGGCCTCTAGTCTGCGGACAGCCTGGCAGCCCGGGAGAGGGTGAGTGTGGGACGTGGCTGCGTAGTGTGTGTGTGCTCGTGCAGGTGGACGCGCAGACGCGTCCCTGCTGCACACAGTCCACGCAGTGTCTAGCCCGCGCAAGCGGTGAGCACCGCGCGGCCCACCTTTGTCTTTCGGGAGCTTCCCCAGCTCCCGCGCCAGAACCGCGCACGGACGCACGGGCTGGCTAACCCACCCACTTTCGGCGACCTGCTCACGCTGAGGCAAGTGCACTGTGCTTTCACCCCCGCACCCGGCCGCACACGCGCGCAGGCAGCCACGCATCCTCGCGTTCTCAGCTTCTCTCCCCCGACACACCCTTTTTTTTTTTTGCCAAACGGCAGCTGCAGGGGAGGAGGCTTCCGTGGCGCCGGGAGGGAAGTTCCCAGGAAGGGGTCGCTACTGCCAGCTGCCAGAGCACATCTGGCCTTTAGAAGAGAGAAGCGCCGGGAGGTCGCCCAGCTCACCAGATAGCTAGAGGTGCAGTGCGCACCCCCCGCGGCTCCCTCCTTTGCTCGCCTGCTCCTCCCCCACTTATGGGGCGCCTCCAAAGTGAGAGAGTCTCTCTAACAAGTGTTGGGCCGGTTTCCCAGCAGCCTCCTTCCCCTCAGGCCCTCTCCAGTTGAGGGGCACTCCAAACTCCTTTCTCGGTTTAGCCCCGTCACTTTTCGCCTTCCTCTGTGGAGCTTGCCCTTGTCTTTGACCCGCTCCCTTTGAGGCCTTTTGCTTGGCTGTTTTGGGGTAGGGGTTTTCCACCTTCCTGGGGAGGCACGCGGAGTCTGGGCCCCACCTGGGTCTCACAGCAGGTGTAGGGAGAGGGGCCTAGCCCCTTGGGGGTCCCTGGAATGGCCAGCTGAGGCTGTGGCCAACCTCTCACCTCCAAGGAGGCAGGAGAGGCTCCAGCGGGCTGCTCTGAAATTTGTAGGGGACCCTCCCTCAATTTCAGGAAAACCAGAGCCTTGAAAGGCTGCTCTGCTGGTGCCCAGACCCACTGCTGGCCTCTTCAGCCCCTGGAGGCGTCTGCTCAGGCATCTTGGGTGAGGAAATGGCGGCCCAGTGTGTGTGTGGGGAGTCTGACCAGAGTTGGACAGCGCCGCGGGCCAGACGATTCTCCATCTTTCTCTTCCCCAGCCCAGGACAGGACCTAATTCCATTCCACCCTCCTAGATGCCTCTTTACAGGCTCGGGGTGAAGGGGAGGGCTTTGTCTTCTTCACCAGGCCCTGGCTTCGCAGCTGCAGGGGACAGAGAACCTAAGGGGATGGGACCACGATAACACAGTAGGAAGCGAAGACACGTTCATGGCTTTATAATCCCCGGGAAGTCCCTGAGCCTTTCTCAGGATGATAAGCCCCTTTGATAAACCGGTGGAAGCAGTAGCCCTCCTCCCTGCCCCACAGCAGGCACACACCTGCCGCAGGTGGGGAGGTGATGGTCGAGGTTTCACTAAATGCCTGGAGCCCATCCACAAACCTGTAACCCCCACCCACAAACCAGGACTCGCATCCACCAACTCAGCCCCTCAATGAACCAGCATCTCTGTTAAAGGCCCCAGAGATGCTGGTTTTATTTTCCTCTAAGTTTCTACTGGCGCTCTGGTGGCACAGTGCCTAAGGCATTTGAGTGCTAACCAAAAGGTTGGCGGTTCTAAACTACAGTCCTTCCTCGGAAGGAAGATGGGGCAATCGTAAGGATTTCCTGATGGCAGTCAGGCAGTCGGACTCAATGGCAGTGATTTTTTTTTTTTTTTTTAAAGTCTCTATTAGATCAGCATTGCACCCCGTCCTCCTCTCCTTATGGAGGGTCTGTAGCAAGGCTACCCTGTGTTCTAGGTAACCCAGCCAGCCAGGGTCAGAGCTGCGATCCCAGCTGTGTCTGCTGTGGGCCCAGGGCTACCTCCATCAGATCTACAGTGGGCAGGGCAGAGACCCCTGGAGAGGACTGGAGTCTGGCCCCCACCAAGTGGGGAGGCTACTTAATCTCATGCTTTAGTTTCATCTTAAAAATCGGTCTAGTAATGGCCCGTTTCCTAGGCTGAGGGAGGCCGCAGAATTGTGCCTGAAGGCTTAGCCCCAGTGCTTCAAACTGGCAGATAAAAACAAAAGCCCCAGGGGCCCAGCCCGACCACAGACAGGACAGTGCAGGCCGAATGAGGTGGGGGTCTCAGGCAGATTTTGGCTTTTCCGCAGAGACACCATCCTTCAATCCAAATCAACGTTGCCCCCCCCCCAGGCCCCAGGAGTCCCCAGATGCGGGGGGTGTAAAAACAGACACGCCTGTGACGTGGCTCTCCCCCAGGCCCCAGGTATTTTTACTGGCTAATTGCTTAAGTGAAGCCGCCCGGCTGCGAGCCGTCCCGTAACCCGAGCAGGGAACCAGACCCCGCTCAGATTGTTCCTGGCCGGCGCTTGGGCGGGGCGGGGGCTCCTCGACCACCCACTGCGAGGGCAGCCGCCCTGCCCGCTGCCGCTGGCCTCGCGGTCACACCAGGGCCTGCCCCCTGCAGCCCCAGTGGGGCGATGTCCAGACGGTGACACGGGATAGGGCGGGCTGGGCCCTAGACCCGGAGGTGGGCAGCTACAGGAGCCAGGGGCGTCAGGAGCGGGAAGCCGGTAGCAACGACCGGACCCTCAGTGACTGAGGGGTAAGCGTCAGCTCTGCATGGGTGAACAGGCCACCCTGGGGAAGGGGTCCATGGTGAGAAATGCAGTCAGGCAGAAACAGGGCGAGTCCCTGGTGGATGTAAGGTGATGTGTGTGCAGGACATGGATGAGTGGTTTCTCTCCAGGGCAGACTGCATGCACAGTCAGTGC